CGAAGACGCCTTTCACGGGTGCCTCGCCGGGAGTCTTTCCGAGACTCCCGACGCTGATGCCGTGACCGGGACCGCATGTCACACCCGTGATGTGAAGGTTTTCGGTTCCGTCTCCGATTGAGATGCAGTCATCTCCGGTTCCTATGGTGCTGTCTTTAACGTTAACATCCACTATTTTTGCAATGTGGATTCCGTCGGTGTTGTGGCTGTCCCCCGGGGCTTTGATGGTGACGTGGTCGAACGTTAAGTTCTTACCGCCCAGAACATTAACGTGAAACAACTTGCTGTCTAGAGAAGTTATGTCCCGGATCAATGAGTTTGTCAAAAAGTTCAAACTCAGATTCTGCATTAACCAACCAGAAAAGGTTATGATAATTAAATGTCTTTTTTATGATAAACATAACACTAAAGTTGAGTGTACTATAGCCTCTTATATCATAAGAATGGGACCTCAAGTTCCATTGTAAATTTAAAGTACTCCCTCTGTCCCTAAAAGAAGTTCCATTTTGCTTATCGAGGGTCAACTTAAATCACTCTTAAACTCTTACTTTTTATATCAAAATGATATAAAAGTTGAATTATTTTTTGCAGGCTTTGTAGCGGGTTTAATGTAGTTTCTGAATATGTAAATTTTATTTACTAAAAATAATCTGAGTTTTCACAGGGATCATTTAGCTTTATTGTCGGTCAACCTTCGTAATCCGCAATTGGAACAACATTTAGAGACGGTGGGAGTAGTCAAATCTTGTATACGTAGTATTAATTAGTTTCATAGGAAGTACGGAGTAGTATACGAAGTATATGTTTATATTTTCTTTGACCCCATATTAATCTTGCGACGTTAGAGATTTTACGCTATTCATATTTTCTATTTTGATTTTTCTTTAAGAGTACATTAGATAATTATTTTTTAAAAAAATATAATTAAATTGTTTTCATTTTAAATATTCAAAATGTGAATTTTTTGAAATTTTTACAATTTGAAAATTATACATACTAATGATCAAAATTTTGCATTCACAAAGGTGAAAATGGAAGTGTTGCACTAAAAAGAAATGGAGGAAATATTAATAACAATCTCATAATAAGTTAATTAATAGGAAGAGTATATTGCAAGATTGGTAGGGATTTTTGGCAGGGATTTTCCTAATCGGAAGAGTATATTGTAAGATTGTTGGCAGGGATTTCGGTAGGTATATGCCAAATTTGTGCCAAAAAACAGTTTATCACGAGCTATTTGGCACGAAATAATTGATAAATCCGTGCCAATCCCGTAAATTGTTTGTAATGGTAGTCTAAGATTTTAAAGAAAAAGACTTTTGGGCTTACGTTGGGAAGCTTATTGCAGGTTGCAGTTTTCTTGCAATCATTTTGGTCCCATGATTTGGCTCCTTGGCCGTCAAGGACGCCGGTGCCGGAGAGTGTGAACTGGTCGACGTTATTGATGGTGAGCCATTCCTTGTTGCTGTCGAGCGTGGCGGGGTCGGCCGGAGCCTTTAAGGTGGCGTCGATTTTGAGCTCAATTGGGCCTTTGCATGGCCCAGCAAGCACTACTTGGGTCATTGGGTATTCTCCTTTTGGGATCACAATGGTGCTTCCTGTTGTGGCTGCACATGCTTCCTTCCATGCGCTCAACAAATCCTGTCACATTTTTTATTTTCATGGTAATTTGTCAATTATGTAGCTAACATAATGTATGAAAGATAATAATAATCACTTGGGAAAAAATTAAAAAATAGAAACACTTGGGGAAAATGTTCACATATAATATGTTTATTATGAATCATATATATTACCGGGCCAACATCTGCATTGGGTTTTGCTGCAATATTTATGACAGCACTTTCGCCATTAAGGAACAACAAGAATGTCGTAAATGTGAAGACACTTAGGCAATATGAAAATTTCATCTTGTATTATATATTGTTTACTTTAATGTTTTTTGTGTGGGTATATTATGAAATCTCAAAGCAAGAGGCATTTATAGTGTTTGCAAATGAAATACATCCATCGAAAAGAGTGGATTCTATTCCAAGGCTTCTATTCCTTTGCCATTCTTTAGGGCACTATGTGGTTTTTATTTGTTTGCCTATTTCATTGGCCATCATTCGCTTTTTGTTTTGACTTTTCCTTTGCAGTACTTATTTATGTCTCTTTTTATTAAGTAATTTGTAAATTAAATATGATTAATTATAATAAATATTAATGATAATGATGATGAAATGCCCTCGAGATATTGTTTCAATATAACGCTTGGTATTTTTCCTCCTAAATAATTGCGAAATGTTATGTTTGAGACAAGCAATATTATTTTGCATTGATTTTGGCATTTCGCAACACATGGTCATTTAAAGGGTGTTTCCTGTTTACCACAAAAACAAACAAAAATTATGACAAGATAATCGATATAATCATTATGAAAATATCATCACAATCTGTATACAATCAAATAAAAATTCACCATAATAGTGATTATATTCAATACTAACTATGCAGGGGTAGCCATGACCCTGGCCACTAGGTGGTTGCAAAGAATTTTTTTGAATAATTTTGTACACTAATAAATACGACATTTTTTAAAATTTGAAGTGGACCGAGACCTAGCATAACACCCTAGCTCCGCCACTGTCATTATGTACATATTATTGTGGTCACTTGTTAAAGTATTCGTCTCATATCAAGTATAAAAGAATAAAATGTCATTTAAGATCTTCAACTATGTACTTCGTCGATCAAGTTGATCTTTTAAAATGGAACTCCAATTTTAATATGGTATCAAAGCATGTTCAATATTGTGGTTTAGCATCCATGGGTAAGGAAAGCTCGTTAAGGTCAGGGTCTATTTGGCCGATTTATACACCCCGATATTGTCCATCCTAATTTGCGCAAGGGGGTATTGAAGTATTTATCTCACACCGGAACGGTATAAGAGAATAAAACGCTATGTTGAAGTTTATTCCTCGAGATTCCAAGGCCCAACACGGTCCTTTGACCTTCGTTGGAAGGCTTTTGTTAGTAGGTTGTTTAATGCATGTTTAAGGCAAGGAAAATAGCAAGACAAGAGACAAATTAGAGACAAAGTGTATCCAATTCTATTCAAGCTATAGAATATTGCTGGACTCGGGCCGGGCGGCCCGAACCGGAACCGGCCCGGCCCGGTTACTGTGTGAACCGGCCCGGCCCGGTGGCCCGGTCCACCGGCGGTTCGGGTCGAACCGGCCTGGTGGATACCGGTTCCGAGCCCGGGCCCTCTATTTGGTGAACCGGCCCGGCCGGTTCGGGCCCGGCCCGGCCGGTTCGGGCCCGGTCCGGGCCGGAATAATTTTTTTTTGAAATTTTTTTAATTTTTGGGTTGGATTAGGTATTTTGGGCCATTTGAGGTGATTTGGGGTGGTTTGGGGTTGAGGGGGAGGGGTAGAGGGTTAAATAAGAGAAGCCAAAAAATCAAAAAAAAAAAAAAAAAAAAAAAAAAAGGGCGGGTGAACCGGCCCGGAACCGGCCCGGTCTGGCCCGGAACCGGCCCGGTCTGGCCCGGAACCGGTCACCTGCCGGTTCGGGCCCGGGCCCTCCTTTTGGTGAACCGAGGCCCGGCCGGTTCAAGGCCCGAACCGGGCCCAGCCCGAACCGAGTCCAGCCCTACTATAGAATGGTTGCAACACAACTGCCAAACGCCGATTTAGCCCTCAGATTAAGCTAAGTGCTATTCGGGGAAGCTAGAGAGAAGTGTAATGCTTGAGAGTACAAAATTGTTAACCCTTTACATTGAAATAAATGTTGTTATTTAGTGGGTAGGCGGAGGGGGTGATGTGGCCGCCCCCGAGTGGATGGAGCCCCAACCGCAAAATCTTCCATATCTTATGCAACAAATGCGCTTTCCGCCATCTGCCTTGGGCCGCTCTTCCATGGGAAGTTGTTGGATTGAGGGAAGAAGCCCAAGTGGGGAGAAAGTGTCGTATGTCTTCAACCGAGCAGCAGGATCCGGGCGATCGCCCCAAGCTGGCAACATTTGCAGATGGCCCGTGTGTGATTTGGGCCTGTAGGGGACATTTACTAGGTCGGGACCTAATATCCCAACTCGATATATAAAATCTTGGACTTTTTACTTCTATCGAGATGACGTTTCTGGACAAAACCCCGATCTTAACATCACTACACGTACAAAGTTATGTTGTTTGTTATTTATGGAGGTCATAATATTGATAATCAGTTCAATTCCATATGGATTTAAATCTTTGAATGAGGGTTGTGTTTGTCTTGTTTTATTTTGTTATGTTTGCATTTATAACAATCAAACGATATAAAATGTAAGTTTTGAAAGTGAATTACCTTTAGAAATAATGTGGCTATATTCAAAGCAATTAGCAATGAACTGGATTACTGGAAAGATGTGAAAACAAAATGGTTCCGGCCATAGTTCAAAATGTAACCAGACCATTCATTGGATTTCCTCCGGCCATTATTTAGTTATGCCACAATATACCTTGTCTCATAAGCATGCAATATTTTTAGGTGTCACCGCCTGCTGCACACACAGGGGAGGATCTATGTATGCACTACGGTGGGCTGAAGCCCGGGGCAACTTAAAATTTTTTCAACTTTTTTAGTGTGAATTTTTTAAATTTTCATATTTAGACCACCTCAAAAATGTTTAAGCCTAGTATAATTGCTTTTTAACCCAGGGTATTTAAAATTCCTGGATCCACCCTTGTGCACACAGTCACACACTAACCTAGTGTTATACGTAGATGTATTTTATTAAGTGTGTTTAGCGGTTTAGGTTTAATAAAAATGTTTCACAATGATATAAAGTGCCTCATAAATCACCTTTTCCAGGCTCCAAGCTGTAGAAATGGAATAGTTAATCACTATGGCTGAGGCATGGACACTGGTTTGGTCCAACTCTGAATCAGGACGAACCAGGCCGAAAAAGTTGGAGCCTTTATTGAAAGTTTGAAACACTGGATAAGTCATCCCAGTTAATGTGATATAATGTGATATCGATTTGGATCAGTCCCGTTACTTCCAAGCATCAATTCCCTTTTACTCATTGAAATATTGTTCACAGAAAGAGTAAGATAGTGCAAAAAAGTGGGGGAGATAGGTAAACAAATGAAAAGTAGTACGGAGTAAAAAACAATGAATCTGTGTCTTTTGATATGGCAGATTGGCAGTAGTTATCAAACAGAAAGTGGAATATATATATAAGAATCTGATTTTAGTCCTCAATTGAGCAGTTTGGACTTTGGATACTCATCACCCGTTTCAGTTTCAGTTCTAACTTCTGATTCAAAACCGGGAAGTGTCAACCTGTACTATTAGTAATAGCACTTACTACAACAGATGCATTTAAGTTATGAGATTGTAAAGTTTCACCTGTTTTCTGTTTTAGAATTTAATTGGCAAATTGTCTACTTTAGAAGCCAGACTGGAAATCTCACTTACGAGAATGATGTTTTATGCATTGCAGAGGCCTCGCTTGAACTGCTGATCAGGCAAAGGGTAGTTGAACTTGATCTTGTCCAAATGATGAAAGCTTGGTGCAATGGTACTGCAGGTAAAAAGAACATGAGATAATTACCCTAGGTATGACTAAAACTCAATGAGTTTCTCAATCTATGACCTAACTAGTTTTCTTCCTAAAATAATTATAAATTTCATAATATTTTAATTAAATTCGTAATTAATAAATAATAAATAATTTTGAGGGACAAATATACCCTTTAGCTTATACCTATAAAACCCTAACCTTCAACTCTTTTTATACAACCCTAGCTACAATCTCCAACACCCACCCGCGCAGCCTCCAACCGCCACCCGCTGTCCAACCGCCGCCGCTGCCTTCCACATATTTGGTTGCCAAGGTGCCGTCCAGCCGCACCGCCACACCGCCGCTCATACTCCTTCACAAGATGCGTCCATCGATTGGGCACTTGGGCGATCTGAAGTGGCGGCTCATCAATGGAGGGGCAGGGAACATCATCAGAGAACAAGAGCAAGAACTCAGGTCTTGGGAATCTAATTTTGGTGTGTACCTGGGCGTTAAGGGGGGTGATATGACAATTCTTGCGGATCTGATTTTGGAAAGTCACGACTCATGACCAGTGGCACAAGATAGGTTGACAGGGATTTGAAAAAGGATTCTTCTTGTTGTACCCACTATTGTACTCACTTTTGTACCCACCATGTCTTCATAGACATATTTTTGTCTATGACCGGGATTCACAGACAAAAAAAAACCTCCTCACGGACATGGTGGGTACAAAAATGGGTACAATAGTGGGTACAAACAAATTTTTCCTTTGAAAAAACAAAACCAATTCTTTTGTTATCAATTTCTACCGTCTTCTCAAGTTTTCCATTTTTTGAGCATTAAATATGGGCATTGAACACCATCACTGAACATTTCAATAAAATGCTAAGTATGGACAGTGAAAATGTATGGTAATAAGCATATTGTGCATGACAGTGAATGAATGCATTGAGAAATTTTGTTGTGCATTGATTATGACCGGTATTGCAGTAACATAGAGTAGTGAATTCATCATGAAATGCAATATACTTAATTAGACGTCAAATAATAAAATTATTAAATCTAAAAAAAAAGAACAAAAATAAATTCATCAAGTGAATGAGAAGAGAATTAATTTTGGCGAAAGTGCAGTGAGTATAATCGGATGTGCAGTGAAGACGTGCATTAATTTTGTGCATTAACGACAATATTAAGTGCATTAATTTTAAGTGAACTAAATTAGTGCAAAATGCACATATTTTAAATAAGGGTATTTCGTCATTTAACATTTAAATATAAACGAATTTTCTATTTGTTTTTGGATTTTTGGTCATACAAAGGTATAAAAACTAGTTAGGTCATAGATTGAGAAACTCATTGAGTTTTAGTCATATCCCGGTAAATTTCCCAAAGAACATAGGTTGGTCTTTGGGTGGCTTTCATGCAACCAGAAACTCCATGTCTCATGATCTATATAATCACATCCAAGCAAGGTTGGTCCTGGTCCTAGTTCCAGAACTGGTACTGTGTCCCATTTCTGATTCATCCACAACAAGATCATCAGTTCCTCATACGAGTATACCCACCCGGTCCGGTTCACAATCCCTGCTAACCGTTTTACCCAGTCTGGTTCACAGTCCCTACGAACCTCTTTACCCGGATCCGAACCTGGTCCATCCCTAATCAAAGCGTGTAGGATGATGCTACTAAAACACATTTTAAAGACTGGGGAATGGCAAACACAGGTGAGGCATATATTGATTGACAAGAGGAAAGTGACAGTCAGAGAGATGAGGACATAAACAACGGAATCAATTAATGTTCACAAACCTTGTGTCTCATTGTGTCTGGGCTGATAGCAGTGAGAGACTGAGAGGCCTTCAATGGGAAGAATGTGTACGACTATTGTATAAACACTAAAAAAGGGCTGGGAATGACTATGCACCCTTTCAGAATGATCCGAGTATTGTCAAGGTTGACTCTTATTTCATAGGTTCAACTGAGATGATGTATTGATTGTTTTCTTCTCAAGGCCATTATTGCAATCGAAAGTTAGTTCAAATACAAAATAGGACAGTGAATGTTTTTCTTTTCAAAGCATATTGTTTCTGTCAAATGAATGCTAACAAATAAAACAGGCATTGGAGACAGGAGAGACTTATAAGATGAAGGTACTACCGTACTATATATTTGTGTTGAATACCACTGAGGTACTCACAGTACTATTTGTTAGTGATGGTCACACAATTTGGAAAATCGTGCCACTTATAAATAAGGTTCCGGAAATACTACAACAAGCAAATGGCATTGAAATTTGAAGCCCACCACCACATTGATTGTTGCATTATGTGATGCATCATGTGCTACCTTTTGGCACTGAAATACGGATATACCGTGACTTATAAATCTGCAAAAAAGTTACTTGAACTGCTCACGCTTTTCCCTTTACTAGCAGTCTTCTTCTTTGTTGCTGCAAAAATAAAGTATTTTAACTATAAAGCAATGACCAAAAGATTTTAGGACTATAGTAAAACAATATGCATGTTTCAGCAATTTCCAAAAAGAAAGCCTGTTTGGTAGCCTGAATTATCTGCTCACCAACAGAATAAGCTAAACGGATTTTACCATATGCTTTCATTTTAAAAAAATAGCAGATTCAATCATTTCAGCCAAACGGGCTCATGAGTTGTTGTATGCCACATTAATGGTACCTTTAGAAGTTTTCGTAATACTGTCATCAACGTCCATCCCGTCATCGCTGTCACTATCAGCTTCAGCTGCTTGGCTTGTTGAGGCATCTCCAGCACTTGTTAATATCTCATCCAAATCCCACAGCTGTATATATTGAATAAAAAGGGAAATAGTGCTAGTGTGAGTGATGGATAGGAAGGAGGGAAAACACATTGAGCAAGTACTTCTTTCATGTGCATTCTAGAATTCTCATTCATCATAGTTATCAGTGGCGAAAATGGTGTGTGCCATAAAACACCTTTGGCGATCTGAAGAGGCTTCACCACAAAATGCTTCCTGGCAACCAGTATACATGTGGCAACACCATCAGTGTGCCATCACCACGCCATTTGCGCTATATTTAACATGTTCATTTAGTTACTGTTGGCCGTTGGCCTGATTATAAATTAACTAGTTCGCCCGCCCATCATGTAAATTTAAAAATAAAACTAATTACGGAAATAAATAGAGACCAACTAACGTAGAATTAAAGCCAAAAACGCCAGAGAAGTTGCGCAACTAAAGTCTCTGTCAGAGAAAGCTGTGCACGCCTATAGGGGAACTGCATCTCCAACAAATTACCAAACGTTAAATTTACAAAATTCCTTGACAGTGAGGAAAATAAACTCCATTTAAATGCCTTTCTTTTTATATTTGACACTATCTGCTTGTCCTTCAAGTATAAAACTACAAATTCATTAGAGGAGATAAACTACAAAAGCTATTTTAGTGCTCATTGCAGTATACTCTGTATAACATTAAATTGTAGCATGACTTAATTTTTTATATATGTCTATTGCTTTGAGTAAAGGGTCAGTTTGGTCCTCGAAGTTGCAAAAAAGGGGTCAAATAAGTCCTTATAAAGAAGATTCTGTCCAGACGTGCCATTTGAGGTGGCTTCCGGTGGAGTTTTTTGATGAAATTTTTTTACCATCTTATTCATTAAGTCTAGTTCACTCATTCCAAATTTCAGATAAAAATTCAATCGGGAAGACATTCAAATGAATTCTTGAAGATAACTGCGCTTATAACGGCACAGTTATCTTCAAGAAATCATTTGAATGTCTTCCCGATTGAATTTTTATCTGAAATTTGGAATGAGTGAACTAGACTTAATGAATAAGATGGTTAAAAAAATTCATCAAAAAACTCCACCGGAAGCCACCTCAAATGGCACGTCCGGACAGAATCTTCTTTATAAGGACTTATTTGACCCCTTTTTTGCAACTTCGAGTACCAAACTGACCCTTATCCCCTATTGCTTTTATTAGATGCTACTTTTTTCCAACAAATATTTTATATGCAGTATACTAGTTATTTATATTTTTGTTTGATCTGGGCAATCTTATAAGTGAAAATTCCAAATTAACAACTAAAATCCTATCTTTTGGATTGGGAATATGATGGAATAAAGCAAAATAGCTCACTCAATTGTCTGCTCTTTGATATGAAGCAGCAGTCAGTCCACGCAATTTTCGACGCGATTTTCACTATGGGTCATCCAGAATAGTCTCTTTGAGACACTAGGGTAATGATGATGATGAACAAATAAAATCCTATCTGTAATTAATGGAAAACTTTATTTGATTGAGTAGACAAATAGTAATTGACTTCTTAACCCTTAACCAGTTGACATATTTCTGAAGTCTTCAAGTTTTTTGGATAATAAGTTATTCTGGGAACTACATTAAACTGTTTTAACTTACCATATTTTGGTAAGAATGTGGCTATTCAACTCTTTTACTCATTTTTGGTGGTTGAAGTACAGAATTAGAGCCCATTAGGTAACCCGTATTTCCAGCTTATCAGCTAACTTTTTTACCAAACACGTAACTTTTGATTCTGTGCGTTGAATTGTGGAATAATCAAAATAGGTAAGGTTGGACTTATATTTGCTGGCAGAATTGGCTGAAGTTCCTTTAAAGGGCTATTATGACATGTGGCGACGCCATAAATGCACCATCACTACAAAAAATGCCACGACAACTATGGCACTCGTACAAGAAATACAATCACATAGATACATAGATGTGGACCTTTAATGTCTGATCATGTGAGATGCTCCCAAGATACTTCTTGTCATATGAGAAAGCTGCAAATGTTAAAATAAGAACAAAAGTTACAAATACTAATCAGCAAAAAGATTCTCAGACAACAAATGCCAGCTAAGATTTCATGAAGTTTTACCAAGACCCTCAACAGGATATTCTGAATGTTCAGCAATTGGTTGAATTACTCTGTTTGGTAATATGCCCACCAAACTAAAGGGAAAACAAAAGGATAGTGAATAAAATTTTAATCCAGACAAATACAACAGACAAATCAGATAAATTAAGCAGTTTGCTGTACCTAATAAGCCCATTCTCACATCCAGCGATTACTCTGTCTTCATCAAGCTTCACAATGAAAAACATTTTAAAATTGTTAGGTTCCCAATATAGAAATAGTATACCAGTCAGTATCACATTAAATCTAAACACTAATTATGGAACTACTAAAAATGCACTCACTTTCAATAGTGTATCCACTGAGTTTGGGGACAAATCGACAAATCGATCACTGGAAAAAATCGAAGCAGCAAAATTGAGAATGAGAATAAAAAAACAATATTAAGGTGAGATTTAAAGAGTTGCAGTCTAACAACCTGCAATCCTTAAAGAAGCCCCACGAGTACAGTAATAGAATTCCTCCCTGAGTCCCACATATAACTTTTCTACCGTTCTGATTAAAATAGATTTATGTTATTAAATACATAAGCATAATAAGACAGTTGGAATGTGAAATAAAACAAACACATACACATAAATGAATACATAGTAAATTAATATATATAGATATAATATACTCAGAAAAAATATAATATCTACCTTCATAACCACAACAGAAAGCAGCTCATCTTCTGAAAACTCTGACCGAGTTTGAACCTGGAGGTCAAATATAAAGAAAAAATTTAATGAATCAAGAACCTAACCTTCATGTGAAAGTTTTAGCGAAGCAAAATCAAAATAGCATGCATAAGTATTCACACTTAAAACGTCTTGGAATATTTATAAATGGATCTTTTAAACATGAGGGTGGGCATGCTATCACAGATATTGATGAGCATAGAAATGCAAATAAAAAACTGATGATTACCTTACTACTTCGTATATTGCAAACAGAGAGAGTCCCATCACCACTGGAGATAAAATTATAAAATATTACAAAGAACATCTAAGTCAAATAAAAGAACTACACAATGCTAATAGAAACGATGGCTTTCTAATTGGGGCGCATCTAATTTCAAGAAAAGACAAACATCGAAGAATGACATATTAAGGCTGTTATCAATCACAAATGAGCCAATAGTTCCAGAACCATATGCGAAAAGTTTGTAATGTGTGATGATATTATCATCATATATAATAAATGGAGCATTTTGCCCTCTTCCCTCTTATATGAAAAGTGAACTTCCGTTCTGTCATTATAAAAATTGATACGCATAGAAAAGTGGGACAGGCCACACATTAATACCTTGTGACAAGTAATTTCATGGAATCCGATGCAAAAGTAATATCTGAGATGTACTCCTCGTGAATGTGAAAAGTACTACAGCATGAATGTTGTCGCGTATCCCACACCTGTAATTGTGAAACTGAGAAATTACTATTGACTTTCATTTTCAACTCCATAAGTTAAAAACAGAAATCTTATTATGCAAGAGTAAAAGCAGAATCGGTAAACACGAGAAATTGTTAAGGACACTCGTACAAGATCTTATCCAAGGTAATGGATGAGAGAAATAGAGAGGGAGGGAGAGGGAGAGACTAGAGAGAGAGAGACGTGTGGATCAATTAGAACTATGCTTAATACCAAACTAACCGGTGCCGACCTTGTCAGGACGCAAAAAGTCAAGAATCAATTCTTCAAAAAGTAATTAATTCAATAACTAAAACCCCTTATATGGAGAGTACAAGAGTTCTGAAAAGTAAAGGAAATGACTACAATAGAATTATTTGCAATCCTAAACTATGGATTGCAAAGCTAATACAACTAACTCATGAGGAAAGGCTAAGTAAAACCAGAATACAAAAAACTAAGAAGTAGATAAAAATAAACTTGCTGTCCAAATCTAGACACTTAAAGTATTTGGCTGCACTGCCCAATGGCCCCTGAAACATAGGCTTCTGACTGGCCCAAAAGGAGCCCAAAACAGTAGAAGAGCATTAAAAATAACAAAATAGTAGTCTTTCTTAACCTAAGGAAACAAAGGGGGGAATAAAAGAATAATGCGTTTACGTTAGGCAAGGTTACGAATTGGTCATGGTATTCAAATCAACACCGCTTGGGCAGTATATTGGATCAAAGAGACAACTATGCTGCTAATATTAAAGGAAAGCTCGAAATAACTGTTAACACATAGAAAGAGACTGGTTAGATGAAAATCCCTCACATGTCATCATTCTCTGCATTCATCTGTCCGAAAAGAAAGAGTCTGGTTTCAAGAACTTTATTTGGGACAGAAAAAGAGCCCACGTTTAGATTTGAACTTTCAATTTCAATAAAACCTTGTAAACCCGAGCAATAAAGTGTTTTGCCCAAGTACTTCAAATGCTCTTGGAAATAAGTTTTAAGTGTACAAGTGGCCATTCATAATTTGTGCTCCCTCCATCCCTTTTTATTTAGCCAAATTTGACTTTTCAAGTCAATGATGTTAAACTTTGACCGGTTATATATTTATACACGGTATGTATTTGATAATATGAAAATGATATGAAACTGTTCTTTGTTTAAAATACTATCATAAAAGTATAAATTTATTATGTTTCACATAAACATATTAGTTAAAATAATGGATCGAAGTTTACCATCTTTGACTGGAAATGTCAAAGATGGCTAGATAAAAAGGAAAGGAGGTAATATAAGTTTGTGATGGGACTGAGAAATTATGATTGAACTCCACTGTTAACTCCATAAGTAAAAATACTCAAATACTGCAATCTAATACTGCAAGAGTAAAACCAGGATCAGTAAACGCGAGAAGTAGAAGCTTAAAAAGAAATCAATGTGGTGGTTTTGTTTATCCTATGAAAACCAGGGATAATAGAAGCAAAATGTATTGACACTGGGCATGGTTACCAAAAATGGTCGCAGCAGTTAACTCATCATCCTATGAGCAGTATTTTGGATCAAATGTACAGTTATGCTGCTAATATAATTAATACGTAAACGAACTGCATAGATGGATACACTTAAAGAGGCTCAGCAAACTCTTAACATATAAGTTTTGACTCAGGGAAATCACATGTCATTGACCTTCATACTCCGTCCGTCAAAAAAAAGACTTTTTTTTGGACAAACAAAAATAAAAGTTAGCTTTTGTTTTTACGTAAAATCAGTGTAAACCCAACCACAAAAGCCTTTAGTCGAGTACTCCAAAGTCCAAACTCCAAACAGTCTCTGAAACAAGTTTTAGGGCTACATTTGACCACAAATGGCTTGTAATAGCTTGTACCTTGATTTGGTTCACTAAAAAAAGTTGCAGCTTACTCAAACAGAACTCTTGTTTGCGGCAGGATGTGTAATGATAAAATTCAACCTCTACTAATAATGAGTTTCAAAAAAATGTATTTTCGAGTTGTTTCAACATTTGGGGATGTAAAATTGACCTTTACACAACCCTCGTCATCTCCGGAGGCAATGGTTGACTCGGTTAAATTGACGATTCGATTAACAGCAGCACTGCATTCAAAGGTGTACCAACACGACAAAGTAAATACCTTATTAGCACTTATGACACAACTATTTACGAAGTATATATATTTTATACAGCTACATTACACTAGGCATTAAATTTCATTTATATCACCCACCCATGAGAATTCTCCACACGAGCAATTTCTGATCCAGTTTCAACGTCAGTAGCAAGTATAGAACAATCTGGAGATCCCGTTAGGATTGCTGAACACACATTAATTAATAATAAATAAGACTATGATTTAGATTTTCCATAATGTGTCATCAGAAAATAGGCAGGAAACTTGTAAATTAGCATGGTTACCGCGTCCATCATTGACAAACCTGACCGCTCTACAGGATTCAGTATGCGCGCTAACTGTGAACAGCCTATAATTCATGTTTACAGAAATAAGCCCTCAACAGGCAGAAACTAGACATTAAAATAATGTATGTGTATGCATATGGGTGTATTAGCGCGCAAGTAATTATGGTTATACCTTTGTACTTGAGAATCCGCTGTGTAACGATGCCTACAATTATAAATTGACTTTAGCATAATAATTTAGCTCTATTTCTTTTTCTACTCGTTAGAGAAGTGAATCAAGTGAAGAACTGAACTTACAAAAAAAGTTCACCGCTAATAAGACCAGTGGCGACAAGATGATCTGACGGATGAAAATCAAGGTCGAAGGGGAGCATACCCAAATCCACCTCCATCGATGCCATTGTTGCTTACACGAAGCTAGGATAACCCCACCACAATGGAGAGAGGTTTTGTTAGGGTTTTTCACTTTTTCTTATTCCGACAATTTATTTCTTTTTGGGAAAAGAATCAAAATTGTCCATGAAGCAAAATTGTCCATGTTGCCCGTCGTGGATAAGTGAAATTATTTATGCACAGATAATTTGACTTGCGTGTAAAACATTGTGTACAATTCGTTGTGTACACGAAGCATGGTTGTAAGAACTTATACTAGTAGGGCAAGACCAATGTTTTGGTGTCGACCTTCAGGTCATCGTCCTGCGGGGGGTGTCAACCTGTAGGGGTGTTGTTCTGCCAGGTGCATCGACCAACGAAAAGTCGACATATTAGCATTTTGTTAGCCAATTCAACCGTATTAACGAGTTAATCTAACAGGTGTACTCAATTAACACAAAAATCCGAGTTATGTGCTAAAAAATTTCAGATGCAATATAAGTGTACTTTTTAGTCCACCTCATACAAGTTGACGTACTCGATTGACCTTTATCTCGGTTTTATAAAATAAAAATGATTTCGGGCAATTATGGTTGAACATGCATTTGGGATTTTTTTGTCCTCCATTGAAAGGAGAACGAAACGTCCACCAAAAACTGAAACAACTCAAACTCAACATGTGAGGTTGTGCATTGAAAACCGTTCAAATCCGAACCAGGATTGAATGAACTAAAAGAATAAAGTATTGTATTCTAACAGAATGATTATCTTATACAATATGATACAATCTTGGTTCTTCAATGAGAATCATTTCAAAATCGTATCAAGCCGTATTGTTCCAAACCGGTACGAACAATCGATTATTTTATATACTCCCTCTGTCCCGGAAAATTTTTCTCACTTTGACTTGGCACGGAGATTAAGAAAGTGAAATAAAGTGAAAATGTATGGTTGTGGTTGTGTAAGAAAAAGATGAAATGAATGTGAACCACACAAATTGTCCAAAAATGGTAAGTGGGAAGAATTTTTTGGGACGGACCAAAAAGGGAAGTGAAAAGAAAGGATGACACCCCATCCCTGAGGGTCCCCCAACACCGACCGGACGGCACGATGGAAGGATGTAAATTGGATGATGGAGTATATGGCCCAGGAACCCCCGGCCCATAGACTCCTAATTCTCCTACACAAGTCCATTAAGCCCAGGAAACAACTCAGGCCCAAATACAATGGCCCAAGCCTCAACGTAGCCCAGAATACGCACTGGGGTGCCTTCGGCCTCCTTGGCCGAAGGCTCCAAACCTCACAGGGTAGCCTTCTCTGGCATAAGAGGCTACTGGGAGAAACGGCGAAAAACATGAGCCTTCGGCATTATCGAGCCCTCGGCATCAGAGAAGCCCCCGGCTAAACCATGCCTCCGGTCACACAGTGCCTTCGGCTACACGGGGACCCTCGGCTACATGGAGCCCTCGGCAACACAAGGAGCCCTCGGCCAAGCACATTCAATCATCGAAGATTCCCTTTAGAGACAGCCAACCACCGCATTTAATGCCACGTCACATCCGCCAACCGCATTCAATGCGGTAAACGTACCACTGCTGGTGCCAACCGGTTGATGTGACCCTTCGGCCGTTGGATTACTGACACGTGTCCTCTCATCGCATTTATTGCTGCTATAAATAGCAGCCCATTTCTCCTTGTAAAACATGATCTACATCTCGACTCCACACTCTGAGTTCATTTAATAAAATCGACTCTCTCTCCTCCTATTTTGCTCTGACTTCTCTCTAGTTATTCCCGTAATAACCCCTCGGATAAGATACCCCCCGGGTAGACTATCCATCATTTGGTGCTCTCGTTGAGAGGTCAGAACAATCAAGTAAGAAACCCTCCCCCTCTACCAAACACAAAATACTTACCAAAAATGGGAAGAACCACCCGTGCCCAGTCCAAAACCCTTGAGGAAAACCACATAGCCCCCCGGCGAAACCAACGGGGCTGAGGCCTCCAACAGGCTCTTAGTACCCGAGGGTGGTATCATCCTTGAGTTGGAGCAGGCTACTGCTGACCTCCGTCAGCAACTACAGAAGAACGCCCCTGATGCCCGCATTGGCCTTGATAATCGAAGGAGGGATCGGAGTGAGAACCAAGTTCCCCCTCCGGCCCCGGCCATCGATCTTCAGGCTGCCTTTGCGGCCTTTGTTCAAAACATGGCTCTCAATTCCGGAGCCCCCGCCTCTCAGACACCCCTCCAGCCCTACGCTGGAGGAAATGTTATTCAATTGCCACCGCTCCCCCCTCTGTTCAACAATCCTCCCCCGGGGATTGGAAACGCCGAGGGGGTCATGGCGCAGGATACCGCCTCCCAAGAGGCCCAATCCAGGGACAAGCGCCCCGTGATGAAAGAGAAACCCCGAACCTCTGTACTTGAGAGGCTTGGGGGAGCTCCCGGGCACCGAGGGGTCCAAGACCGCCTCGGGAAACAGGCATTCAGCAGGCCCCAGGAGAGTGGAGCCTCTGCTTCGGGCGCCGAGGGCGTGCCTCCCCCACGAAGCAAAGGCAAAGCCCTCCTCCATGCCGATGACGCCAGGCACCAGATCAATCAGGCGCAATCCTTCCGGGCCAACTCCCAAGGGGTTGCCCCGAAGGATCCCAAGGACGAAATCATTGAAGCCCTCCTCCGTCAACTCGAGGAGAATCGTCAGGCACCCCCGACGGCTTCCACAGCGAGGCCAGATCCGGAGTACGCTGACCTCCGGGCACAGGTGGAGGAAATGAAACGTAAACTTGCCGAAGGCTCAGGCGAGCCCCTCATTCAGCTCCGCACTAGAACACCCTTCACCCCAAGGGTGTTGGCGGCCAAAATCCCCCACAAATATCGCGGGCAACCCATCAAACCGTATGAGGGGAAGACAGACCCCCAAGAGCACTATAGCCGCTATCAAAATAGCATGATGATGATGGGGGCCTCGGATGAATACTTATGCCGTTGGTTCCTTTCCACCTTGGAGGGACCCGCGTATGAGTGGTTCAACCGGTTGCCCGAAGGCAGCATTGATTCTTGGCAAGAACTTGCCCACCGCTTCCTCACACAATTTGCTGGGAGGCATCGCTCAAAGAAGCACTTCTCCCACCTTCTGAATGTGAGACAACAGAAGGAGGAAACCCTTCGGAGTTTCCTGGAACGCTGGAGGCAGGCCTCCCTCGAGGTCGAAGGCGCCGATGACAGGACCCTGATGGCCCTCTTCCACACCGTCCTCCGCAATGGTAACTTCTCCCGGAGCCTTATCACTGATCCCCCCCGCGATTATACAAAGGCCCTTCAGCGGGGGGATCGATACGCTGAAGCGGAGGAAATCGAGAAGGACCGCCGCAACACGGATCCTTCTCAGAAAAATGAAGGCAGGAACCGGCCCGGAGGGCCTCCCCCTCCGGTCCACCGAGAGGCACAGTACAACGATCGCTCCCGGGGTGGCCAAGCCAGACCCGGGGGTGGTTACAAGAGCAATCCGAAGGCTTGGGCACAACCCGTCCTCCTGGAGCACCCACGCACTCCCCTGACGCACCCCGTCAGCGTCATTCTTGATCATGCGGAAGAGCGGGGGCTCGTTGAGCGAGACTCCCGCACACCCCTCGAGATTTATGTCATCGGCCCTGATGAGCCATATTGCCGCTTTCACCGCCACCATGGGCACAAAACCGACGACTGCCACCAACTGAAAAACGCAATTGAGAGGCTGATACAGGCAGGCCACTTATCTCAGTTTATCGGGGGCCCTCCTCCCCAGGGCCCCCCTCATCATCAAGGGCCTCCGCCGAAGGCAAACAAATGGGTGAACCCCAACACCATCCCCTTGGGAAACCCACAGGGGAAGAAGCGCGAAATTGGGGGCCTCGATGACGAGGGAGAGGGCTCCCATCAACAATACAAACGCCATATTCATATGATCAACGGCGGCAACACCGGAGGCGATTCAGCAAGCCAAAGGAAGAAGTGGGCACAGTCCCTTTACATTGGGGAGGTCAATCACATGCCCCCTACTAAAAGGCTGAGGGCGGATCCCATCTTCTTCACAGATGCGGACCTCCCTTCGGGTTCCCTGCCGCACAGGGATGCCCTCGTCATCCGCACTGAGATCAATGATGCCATCATCCACCGGACTTACGTCGACACGGGAAGTTCTGTCAACGTCATGTATCTCAGCACTTTCCAAGAATTGGGACTCGACAGGGGGTCCCTTCGGCACGTAAACACTCCCCTCTCCGGATTCACGGGGGATAGCATAGACGCCGAGGGTGTCATCACCCTCATGGTCGAATTCGGCGACGGATTCCATAGAGCCAAGCTCGAAGTGGAATTCGTCGTCGTCAACCTCGACTGCGCGCACAACATCATCCTCGGCCGGCCTGCCCTCGAGGACTTGGAGGCCGTCATCTCTATGAGGCACCTCTGTCTCAAATTCCCCACACCCACCGGCATCGGCTACTCAAGGGGGAATCAGAAACTCTCCAGGGCCTGCTACCTTCAGCTCACCAAGAAGGTTAGCAAAACTGAATTTCGAGTTGACACCATCACCACCAAGGCCTTAGAGGAAGAAGAAGGCAGGCCGAGGGCTGAGCCTGCTGAGGAGACCGAAGACTTGATACTCGATCCGGCCAAGCCGGAGAGAGTCCTGAAGATTGGAGCCAAGCTCCCCGAAGACTTGAAGGCTGGCATCACCAAAGCCCTCCGCGCCTACTCCATTGTTTTTGCATGGGGGCCGGAGGACATGCCAGGTATTGACCGAAGGGTTATCACCCACCGCCTGGCGGTGGACCCTTCGGCCAAACCGATACAGCAGCGGAGAAGACCCCTCTCGACCGAAAGAAGGGAGTTCGTAAAGAAGGAGGTGTCTATGCTCCTCTCCATCAAGCACATCAAGGAGGTGAAGTACCCTTCTTGGCTGGCAAACGTAGTCCTCGCACAGAAGCCTCCTACCTTCCGCATGTGCGTGGACTACACTGATCTGAATAAGGCGTGCCCTATGGACCCCTTCCCTCTGCCAAACATTGATCAACTGGTGGATGAGACCGCGGGATGCGAGATCATGTCATTCCTCGACGCGTTCCGCGGATATCATCAAATCTACATGCATGAGGAAGACGCTGAAAAAACCGCCTT